ATTTGGTTTCAAAGTAGGAGTAGTAGTAGTATATCTATATTTAAGCATTAAAGTAAAAGACATTTATGACTGAAGAAATAGTGATAAATCTTATCCTTAAATACTTAAGGCTAAGTGTGAAATGAGATGTTAATGTATAACATAAAAATAAGACTGTCAGGCCCATAGAAAGAAGCTGAAACTCCTGGTTCTAACAAGAAAGAGTAAAAATGTATTTTTCGCTATTACTCCTGCTAACATAAACACCCTGAAAATAGTACATATAACAAACAAATAACTCTGAAAGAAGGTGAGAAGAAAAATAGATAGGAACTTCAGGAATAGAGGAATAATTCATAGTGGTCAGTTTCCTATGTTTTCTTCATTTTCACTAAATACCCCAAACTAGGTCCTAGAGAAACCCACAACTCAGAACACAAACCAAAAAAGTCCCAAAGAAAGCCTGCTCTCTTTAGCAAAAGGACCAGAAATAGAGCAGATAAGCAGGACAGGAATCTTGTTGACCTGCCTTACTCCAGTCACACAACACTGGAGGAAAACGAAACAAGACAACTTCAAAGAAACATGGATTACTAGGAAAAAGTAAAGGGACCGGAGGTGGGGGAAGAAAGGAAGGTAAGAGAGGGTAGTTTGGACAGTGAATATGACTGAAGTATGATACATGCATGTAAGGAAATGTTGTAAACCATCAATAAATCCAATAAATACACATTAATAATCACAATTTTAAAAATCTAAAACTATGCTCTCTACAGCAATGAAAGCAGAATGAGAAGAGTGAACTTTCACTTCCCAAAATGGCAGCATGGAAAAATAAAATTTACTTCTATACACTAACAATGTACAATTAGAAACCAAAATAAAAATTAAAATACCATTCACAATAATTCCAAAAATCAAATTCTTTGCTACAAATCGAACAAAGGATTTTCTTTGAGACAGGAGCCCATTGTGTAGCCCAGATTGGTCTGGGGCTACACAGCCCAGGCTGTCTTTGAATCCCTTGTCTCTGCCTCCCAAGTGCTAGGATTATAGGTCTGTACCACCACACCTAGCTAACAAAGGTAGTTGATATATAGAATCTGTAAGCTAAAACTATAAAACACTAATAAAAGAAATTCTCAATAAATTAAGAGACATGTTGTTTTTATGGAAATGTAAACTCAACATCATTAATATGTTAAGTCTCTCTGTACTGAACTCTGAGTTTCAGCACAATTCCAATCAAAGTTCCTGCCTGATACCTGTAGTTGTAGATAGCTCAAAATGGATCACAGAGATCTGGGCACCAGTGGCTTAGGCCTGTAATCCTAAACACTTGGGAGACAGAGAACATGAAGATCAAAGTTCAAGGCCAGCCCCGGCAAAAAGGGAGACCCTATCTCAAATATACTCAACACAAAAAAGGGCTGGTGGAGTGACTTAAGTGGTAGAGTACCTGCCTAGCAAGCATGCAGACCTGAGTTCAAATCCCAGTACCATCAAAAAATCAACAGCAAAAGTAACAAAACCATGGTAACAAATAAGTAAAACCCAGTACTACAAAAAAAAAAAAAATCACAGAGATAAAAACAGAATATGAATCTATAAAAGATTATAAGAAAACATGGGATAAAATGTTCATCCTAGATATGACATCAAAGCCATGACCGATAATTTTCATCAATTTTTTTTTTGCCGTGTGTAATATAAGGCTAAGACGATGAAAAAGGTAATCTACAAAATGAGAGAAAATATTTGTAAATCACATATTTGCTGATGGACTTATATACAGTCTATATAAATAAGAACTTCTAAAGATTAACAGTAAGAAACAATTATCATTTAATTTGTTTAATAACCAACCATTTTAAAAATGGGCAATAGATTTGAAAACACATTCATCAAAGAAGACATAAAGACAGCATAAAAATACAGTATTATTAGCCATGAGGGCAGGGCAAATTAAAATCACAATGGGATACTAATACATACCTAACTGAATTTTTTAAAAATATCTACAACACCAAGAGTTGACAGGAGCAAATGCACTCTCATGAATTGTAGTGGGAATGAACATGGAATAGCTACTTTGGCAAATAGTTTGCTGGTTTCTTATAGAATTATACATACAGTATGACCCAACAAAGCAACTTGGATATTTAACTAAAAAAATCAAAATGTTATGCTCACACACAAAAACCGTGAGAGTACCTTTATTATAACTGAAAAAAAGCTAGAAAAGACACAACTATTCTTCAGTAGGTAGATAAACAAACTGTGGTACATTCATAAAGTGGAATAACATTTAGCAAAAAAAAAAAAAAAGGAAGAAACTAAATGAACCAACCCAAGTGATTGTCAATGGCATTATACTGAGTAAAGGAAGACAGCTTTCAAAAAGTTATAGTCTATATGATACTGTGCATATGATGTTCTAAAAAGGGAAAAGCTACAGAGAGGAAGAATAAAATCAGTGGCTGCCAGGTAAACGGGTATTGAGGGGTTTGGACTACTAAGGGGGCAGAACAAGAAAATTCTTTGACATACTGGAACTATTTTACACCCTGATTGATATGGTAGCTATTCAAATATATACATGTGTTGTAATTTGTAAAACTGCACACTAAATGTCTATGTACTATATAAACATTTAAGAAAATAAAGCAAAAATTGTCCACCCTCATCAGTAAGCAAATTTTAGTGAATAAAAGACTATGCTGTAATTCTTGTTGTTCTGTCCTGATAATTTCTGAGACTTTTCATTTTTGATACCACATTTTTAAAAGAATTTTTAATAGTGAACATGTGTCCACATAAGCAACTTGAGAGGAGAACATTTGTCTGAAGTTCTCATTTCATTCACCAAAGCAGAGTACCTAATACATAGCAGTAGCTTCAACAGATTTGTTCACTAAACAAGCTTTTCACAAAACAACCCAACCCTCTGCTAGGAAACTATTAGTACATAATTTAAAATGTATTCAATTCTTTGGCATTCATTATAAAAAAAATTAATTATCTTTTACTAAAGTTAAGACTGATCTGAAAAATAACTTTTATAAATAGCTAATTTACACAAATGCTTTTGAACAGATTTTAGGGAAAATCTTCCACAATATAATAATGATAGCATTTTATTCAGAGTTCTTTATAATGTACAAACATTGCTGAGTGAACAGACCAGGATTCTAAGAGGTCCCTAACGTTCTCTAAAAGGCCTTATTGCTTTTTCTTTAGTTCTATTTTCTTAATAAGTAAAATAAACCCCCCAAATGAATCACTGATAACTAATCTCTACCTGAATTTTCTTGACTATATTAGGTCTCACAACTAGGTAGGATTAGGTCTCTAACTTAACTGACTTCATCCAAAATTAACTTTCTTATTTTTGGAGACAAAAAATGTCATTAAAGATCATCAAAGAAAGTATTCATACATACAATATTCAACGTGGATGAACCTTAGAAACATTTTAAGTGAAAGAAACAAAGGACCACGTATCAACTGATCCCATTCATTGAAATATCCAGAACAGGCAGATCCATTAATCTATAGAAAGTAGATTAATAGTTAGTTGCCTAAGACTGAGAAGGATGGATGGAAGGGGTCTGACAGCTAAGTTGTGTTGCTTTTGGAGAGGTGATGAAAATATAAAATTAATTGTAATGATGGATGGTGTACAACTCTTTGAATATACTGAAAGCCATTGAACTACATACTTTATACAGGTGAATTATATAGCTTCTGGATTATATTCCAAAAAAGCTATTTAAAAGTCATGAGGAAATGTTTTTGAAACAAACCTATATAGTCTATAAAACAGTTTTCAAGATAAGTAACTTCATTATCAGCCTCAAATATTTAGGACTAATAGAACATACTATACTTTAAGAGGTAAATCAGAGTGTACACTTAAATCTGGGATGGTCATTTCCTAAAAAGTTTATCATTATATAGAAAAGCTTGCAATCAGAAGTTACATGTTATTATATAGTATATAAAACAACTTTCTGATTTATAACTCTGAAAATTCAGTGATATTTAATTATAGTATGCCATATGATGCTAAATTCTAGCAAACTAAAAGACATACACAGGCTTTCAACAAATTTTGTGGTCCAAATGTCAAAAATTAACTCTAAATGAGAAATAGTTAAATAACAAAAGAGGCTAATTATTTTGGTCTAACTCTTCTTTGTCTCAAAAAAAATAAAGTGTTCTTTCTTTGCCAGGCTGAATATTATAGCCTGTGAATTATAAGATCAAGCAAGAAAACTGTATGTTTTCTAAAATATGAGTATCCTTCATCAAGTCTGATACTTAGGGCAGCTAAAAGACCTATGTGGAGGGATCAGCATTAAGCCCAAAGGACAGGCAGTGCACAGCAAGAAAGAAAGCAATTCCCTCGTGTCTTTTGCAGGTCACTACCAAGGACCATGTTAGCAGATCCACACCAGACCCTTAACAGGCAGTTCTGCTGCTACCAGTAATTAGCTTGGACAGCTCTGGCTCCAAGAGTAGCAGCAAGGCTACACCATAATGAGCTCAGCTGGGATTAGCAGGACAGGGCAGGGAACCAAGAGAGCTCAGGCATTCTGCATTGCGTATATATCTAGGAGATCAAACAAGGATGGCTGGCTAGGTTATCCCCTCTCCACCTCATTCCAAAAATGAAGCACGGCAGTGTCTAAAATACAGGCTAATGAGGAGCGACACCTCCAACAGATGAGAGCCACATTAATTAACACAATCCCTAGATCATATTATACAGTTTCTGTTAAAGCTAGTGAATGTGCAACTTGTTATTGCATAATACATACACATAGATAGATATGTGTATATATATTCTAAAAGGCAGTCTTTTGTCATTGCTACTTTTATTGACAAAATCCAGATTATCTCATTTCAAATTTTATAAGGCATTTCTCTAATGGCCTTTAAGCCACAAAACACTTTCTCCCAAATATTTATCCAGGTCCATATTGTTAAAAAAAGAAAAGAAAAGAAAAGAAACTCACTTTTGAATCAGTAGCTCCTGGTTTTCCCTTTTGAAATATGCCAGCTCATTCCACACAGCATCAGAATCTTCTTGTCGAAGTTGTTGGGGATCTGCTCTCTTTATTTTTCGGATTTCAATCCTATTTTAAAAATAAAATAGTTGTTTTCCCTCTGCATACTTGAAGTTTCCAATTGCTAATTCAAGTTCACTATTTATTGGATGAATTTCCTAAAAACTAAGCGTGTAGAAATTAAAATCCTGTATCATAATTTCTCAAAGCTAAACTGTTACCATGGAAAGCAAACTTTGAAGCAGATACACGATATTCAGGTTTAGTTCTCTCATTCATGCTAGTACAGTACAGTAGTTATAAAAATAATGCTGTAGGACTATAAACATCTCTGAAAACAGACTAGAAGCTGTCAACTCATCTAGAATCTGCTGCCACCCAATCTACTGTAGTAGTGTGCCTTATTTTAGAATACACTATTAAGAGTGAGAATGTCAGAAAGTAGATTTCACTCTTGCAGTAATTACTGAAAAGGCAGGTGAGCAGAGGTTAAAGCTAGGATACATTACTTTATCACTGCTTTGCTGACACGCAATTTAAAATACTTTCCACTCATCAAAGAAAATATTAGATGTAACAATTATCTACAAGTGACGCCAAATGCCCTTTACATTTTCATTTTCTGTTCATAAAACAAACTCTTGATTTTATTTTTTAAAAGTGCTGTACTGGCCAATTTAGAAACATTATTTCTCTATAGAACAGACCAATGTGTATCATCAACACTGCCCTAAAGGATCCATCTCAAAAGATGAGAGGGTAGTAGATTTTCTGTACTCATTCAGTCCTTTGCCCTCTGTTGATACTGTTAACAGGGGAGCCACTTACGACTAACCAAGATCTGAACACCTGTTCAGAGCAATTGAACCGAGACCGCCAATTCATTCAGATAAGCTGGAGAACAAACTGATGGATAGTAAAGATCTTCAAATTGCATATTATGTTGAAATAGTTTTAAGATAGTTAACTACATATGAATTTCATATTTCTCCTATCTTTCCATTAAAACTCAAACACATTTGGGGTTATAAAAATTTTAACACCAGCATTTAACTTATTCAAAGGCAGTTTTTCAATAATATGGATATTAGCTGCTTTTTCTTTAAATACATACTTTATTAGGTTGTTACATTAATAACAAAATGTATACAATAACTTATAATCACTGACTGCTAATGACATCTGTAAAGGAAAGGAAAATCTATTGTTATGGCTAGCACATTACTGTTTTCATTTGTTATGCTCTCCATTTAAAAATTCACAATAAAGATTTGACTACCAAATAATTTCTTTAAAACCAAACAAAAGTCATTAAAACACCTATATAATGCTCCACCATTCCATCTAATATTTAGGGAAATGTCTTTATGAGCTATGTAACTCACATGCCACTGTCTTCTTCCCACTGTTTTAATTGCTCTTTTATTGCCCTGTAGTTGGTCTGTAACATCTGTAGCCTTTCCTTGCGTTTTTCATGGGCATCTCTTAGCTCATCATTTTCTTGGCTCTACAGAACACAAAAAGCAAGTTTATAAGTTTGAAGAAAGTATTTCAAATAAAATGTCATCCATTTAAGTGAATTTGAAAGAAATAGTGTGTAAACATTAATGCATTTACAACATGTACATAAGCAAAAGAAAGGAAAGAATTCTGCAAGTTTCAGAATATGTTTGTTTGATAAATTCTATCCACTCATTGCATTTTAATGCTGCTTACATAATTTCAAAATTTTGCTGTCAAATTAGTTCCATTCCTTTCTTTGTTGTCAGTTAACATAAATACAAATATTCCTGTTTTATAAATTTTTAATTTTATTTTTTTAACAACACAAGGATTTGTCCATAGGTGAAGGATGATGTTTTGTTAAAAATGCAAGGACATTAATCAAGTATCATCAATTCTTCAGGCCGTGACTACATGATGAATATAATAAAGCACAAGGATTTCACAGAAGGAAGAAAATAAGGCTGAACCTATATTAAAAGTAGCATAATTTAACTTTCTGAGGTTCTACAATGAAGAACTACAAGGGGAAAAATAAGCTAAGCACTTTTAAAAAATCTTTTTATTAGTATATGATAGTAATACAGGGGGTTTCACTGTGACATATATATGTATATATATAGTACCCCAATTTGGTTTATCCCCTCCATTATTCTCCCTCTTCCCCCACTCCCCTTTTTAAAAATGCCTTTGACAGGTTTCAATGATTCATATTTATACATGTATAGAAAGTAGCAAAATACCAAGGCAAAACCCCAGTAAACAATAAACAGATACTTAAACAAAGGACAGGAATGTAAAACAGGTCATGTTAAGGGAAGGGTAATGGTAGGAGGGAGAGGGTAAATGAGGAAACTTAGTACTCCTGAAGAAGTCATACAATAGCCAGTCCAAACATTACTTTGTTGTCTCAACACCTAGGTTATACACACAGTGAACAACTTCTAAATGTATATAGCACATTTAGATAAATATTCATTAGATACAGCACAAACTTAGAAAACCCTAATTCTTAGTACTCAGCAGATATGTTACCATTACTTATGAACTGTTTCTCAATGAAAATTTCAAATAAAAAAACTTATTCATACTTCTGTCTGAATGAACTTGCATGTTTTTTTGCTGAGAGAATTTATAGGGACTTGAGACGCATATGACAATCAGAAACACTTGAATTACATTGTTGGGGTTTTGTTTTCTTTGTCAGTTGCATAATCTTAACACATTTCAAATTAATTCAATTTCTTTTTCTGGACAATATGGAAAACAAAGGCCTAAAGGGAGATGGACTGGCACTATGCCTGCCCTAGAGGCACAAAGCAAAAGTTAGCTTCTTTTACTCTCTCCTCTTCTTGGGTGTTAAATATTGATGCTATTATCCCTTAGAATCCACTATTTTCTTGATCATTTTCCTCTCATGTAAATAGTGAAAGAACAGTACAGAGTCTGCATTCTTTTAGTGTACTCTCTGTGTCAGCAGTATGGACAGTTTTTCATTATGCTTTCATTATACTTCCAGTAGGATTCTTCTCCAAAGCAGCAATCAGAAAGTGTTTGAATCTTATGCATACCAAGAATCATTCTGTATGCTATATTCTGTATATTCTGTATGCTATGGAAATAGAAGTGCTTGATAAAAAAGCATGAGAATGGCATCACTTGACAGGAGTATACAGAATAAATGTTATTCTGAAGAGTTTTAGAGTATATACAGACCACAGTTGCTACAAACATGCTAAAAAGTAGCATAGGTTAATACGTGAACAAACCATCAAAAATTCAAGATATTCAATTTTGCTCATTTCAGTGAAGAACCACATATGAAGGACCTATTATATGCTGGATATTAAGTATTCACAAGAGTTTATCCCAGTTACTAAATTTTGCTGTACATTAGTTACTTGAATTCAGTGTTTCAGTTTCTCCATCTTCAAAACAGAAGTTATTTATAGCTCTTCTAAGGCATAAAGAATTAAATTTGAACTTTAATTTTTCATTCTACATTTGGTAAACAGCCAACTTATTTCTTTAAGTTATAAACTTTCTAATTTTAAGTATATGAAGTAAATGAATAATTCAAATTAGCCAAACAAAAGACTGATAATTAATAATGTTGATATCTTATCATTGATGGCAAGGTAATTGTGTTTATTGGGATTCCATCAGAACTAAAGATGTAGGCCAGGCACAGTGGCTCATGTTGTAATCTGTTAATTGGGAGGTGGTGATTAGGAGATCACGGTTTGAGGTTAGCCTGGGTAAAAAGCTACAGAGACGCCCATCTCAATCAACAAATAAATTCTATGTGATGGTTCATGCCTATAATCCAAGCTATGCAGGAGTCCTAAGTAGAAGGATCAAAGTGTAAGGCAGTCCATGGACAAAAACCCAAGACTCTATCCAAAAAATAACAAAAGCAAAACAGGGCTAGAAGTGTGACTCAAGTGGTAGAGCACCCGCCCAGCAAGCACAAGACCTTGAGTTCAAACCCTAGAACTGCCAAAAAGAAGAAAGCAAAGGAAAGAAAAAAGGGAAGGAAGAGGGAAAGAGGGTAGAGGGAAGGGGGCAGAGGGAAGAGGGGAGGGGGGAGGGGGGAGGGGGAGGGAGGGGGAGGGGAGGGGGAGGGGGGGGAGGGAGGGGAGGGGAGGGAGGGGGAAGGGAAAAGAAAAGTTTCATAATTAAGATGAATTAGAAATGTATTAATAAAATAATTCAATTGTAAGAAATCAAATATTTGAAGATTCCAGTCAAAATACAACTTAAATTTAGCTATTTTTTTCATAGATTAAAATTTCCTCCCCATAAACTCTTATGTTTGCACAATGAATTTCATAAAAAGAATTTCATACAAAGCTAGTGTTTTGAGAATAATTAAAGTTCTGTGTTAGAGACATTGGAAACTCTAAATAGAACTTTAAAAACTAACCAAGAAGTGAAAATAATAGAATGGAGCATCCAATTTTTCTAGATTACTTTCCACTATTCCTTTGTTGAATTGATGGAACAAACTGAGCTTCTTATTAATACTATCACTATTTTAGGCATTTTTCAGTACTACCTCAGCTACCATTAATCACTGAATGTATAACAACTGTGTTCCCTAATTCTCAAATACAAGCTAACCATATTATGCCACTAAGCAACATATGAAGACTCAATAAAAGTCTCCTGAGTCCCACATATGACTTCTTGTGTATTCTATACCAGGCACACTAACTAATCAAAGCACTGAGTGTTGCCACTTCTGGTTCCAAAAGCTTGAGTGTTCAATATTAGTAAACAATCTGGATTTCCTGTAGTAATTCAAATAAGGAGCTCCTTCCACTAAATAGTGATTATAGGAGAACAATTTTATTTTATTTATTTATTTTTTCTTTTATTATTCATATGTGCATACAAGGCTTGGGTCATTTCTCCCCCCTGACCCCACCCCCTCCCTTACCACCCACTCCGCCCCCCTCCCTCTCCCCCCCACCCCCTCAATACCCAGCAGAAACTATTTTGCCCTTATTTCTAATTTTGTTGTAGAGAGAGTATAAGCAATAATAGGAAGGAACAAGGGGTTTTGCTGGTTGAGATAAGGATAGCTATACAGGGAGTTGACTCACATTAATTTCCTGTGTGTGTGTGTTACCTTCTAGGTTAATTCTTTTTGATCTCACCTTTTCTCTAGTTCCTGGTCCCCTTTTCCTATTAGCCTCAGTTGCTTTTAAGGTATCTGCTTTAGTTTCTCTGCGTTAAGGGCAACAAATGCTAGCTAATTTTTTAGGTGTCTTACCTATCCTCATCCCTCCCTTATGTGCTCTCGCTTTTATCATGTGCTCAAGGTCCAATCCTATTGTTGTGTTTGCCCTTGATCTAATGTCCACATATAAGGGAGAAGATACAATTTTTGGTCTTTTGGGCCAGGCTAACCTCACTCAGAATGATTAGGAGAACAATTTTATAGATGAGCTTTCTAGTTTAATTTTACTTGCTGCTTTATTAAGTATAACACTAGAATATTTATGTAATTCTCATAAAGTTATTAAAATCTAAACTATTACAGTACATGTGTGTGATTTTTGTTTAACATGTGGATAAAGACTTATAGACAGGTGTAAAAACATATTCTCTTCAGAAATAGACAGTGAAAATTTTATAAAAATACAAATATAAGCCATTTGCCAGTGACCCACACTTATAATCCTAGTTACGTGGGAGGCTGAGGTAGGGAGGATTGCTGTTCAAGGCCAGCCCAGGCAAGAGTTTGCAAGACCTCATCTCAACCAATGGCTGGGTGTGGTGGTATGCATCTGTCATTCCAGCTACAGTAGGAAGTGTTAATAGGAGAACTGTGGTCCAGGCTGGCCTGGGCATAAACAGAAATCCTATGCCCAAAATAACCAAAGCAATCTGGTACGAGTTGCTCATGCTTATAATCCTAGTTACCTGAGAGGCTGAGATCAGGAGTTTGCAGTTCAAGGTCCAGGCTGAGCAAATAGTTCACAAGACCCCCAACTCCAAAATAACCAAACAAAATGAACTGGAGGCGTGGGCTCAAGCAGTAGAATGCCACTTTGCATGTGCAAAGGCCTGAGTTCAAACCCCAGTCACACCAAAAAAAAAAAAACCAGAGCAAAAAGGGCTTGGGCATGGCTCAAGCAGTAGAGCATGCAAGCCCTGAGTTCAAATCCCAGTACTGCCAAATGCAGACACACCCACAAAAATACATACACATATACATGATAGATTTCAAAAAAATTTCTATTATATGTCAAGTGAAACTTGAAGAATTACTATTTCTTTTAAGATTACCAACTTCTCACAAACAACTTGCAGTATTAAAACAGCAAAAATCAAAACAGTAATACCTTATTTGGGAAATAATACCACAAAATGCCTTACAAAAAATCATGGGTAAGGACTGATATATTTTACATCATTAATACATTTTCATAAAAGGATACACACAAAAATATTCCATGGACAGCCACTCAGTGAGATCCATCCATTACACCACTC